CATATGAACCCTCATGGATACTAGTAGGTTGGTGAAAAAGTGACAATTATTGTTTGGTTTATTGATGATGTATATAAAGTAGTGATATGTGCTATGTTGTTAATTTTACATGAAACTATTATCTGTATGATATTAATTATCTACATAAGTTATTTTTATGAATCCCACCACGGTAAGTGAACTGTAAATGATTTTATTCATGAAAAACGAATTTACTTAAATTGAGAGCTCTATTAGTTGTTTTTATGATTTTATACCAATCTTTATTTCTGTGTCGGTGATATCGTGTGACATCCTTACTTAGCTAGTGTAGCTCATCCTTTATTTAACCATTTCTGATCAAGATGACCAGATTTCAGAGCTCAATCAGCAGGAGGATTGCGAGTAGATGCTAGATCTCTTTATTTTTCGTTTATTTCCTTATTTCTTGTATTTTTTTTAAAGACTGAATTCCGCAGTCCTGTTTAGTTCTTTAAGTTATTGTGTAGGGAATGTAAATCTTGAACATTTATTACGCTTCTGCATTTAAGTTATAATTTATTTCCTTTACATATTTCCGAAGTTGTTACAAGGAATGCAGGTCAGATCGCACCAGAATAGGGTTCCACCATCCCTATTTTCAAAGCTCCTTCCATCGGCGTTGTAGCCAGACCTTGTTCGCCTACCCTCAATGCAAGGTAGTCAGCCCTAGATCGGGTCGCATCGTTCCACCTTAGGTGGCTCGTTTCCTGGTCGAGTAACCCCTCTTCTATTTCCATCTCTCCTTCCGCTATCCCTTCCTCCATTCTCTGTTATTCATCAGAAAATGGAGAGTGATTCTCCTCCGGCCTTATCATAACCTTCTTCATGGATCGATTGGCTTCCAGGCAAGGCGGTGCCTCCTCTTTCTCCGTTAAGGCGATGTTGAGATAAAGTAGCATTAGGGTTTCAACGGTTTAGGGTTCGGTTAAGAGAATAAGATAATAGGTTCTGAAGTGATTATTTTTCAATTTCTTAGCTACACATCACCACCTTACCCTCAAATACCTAACACACAACTCTTTCCGAAATATATGTTTTAACAATATTATTCCATGCATATGAGTATTCTTTTCTCTTCGGCAATCTTACATCTCTTCTTTGTCCCAGTTTGCCCTATTGAAAGAACAAAGACTTCTTCTCTGGGAAAGGAGAAAAACAACCAAGACAAAGTTAGAGAAATTTTCAAAATAACTGAGATCAAGCTTAAAAACATATCTAGAATAATTCATTAGACCCTCTGCAAGGAAACCTTTTAATCTCAAAGCCTTCAACCTCTCTTTCCTACCATCCATGACAATATGATGTTATTCTTCTCTCCCAACACCTCCTCTAACTTCTCCATCAAATCCAACAATCAACTCACCAAAATCCCTGATCTCATTTACCCTTTTTTTCTTATAAACGTATGATGAAGGTGTTAATTTTACTTGGCGAAGCTCAAATAAATACGAATATCTCAGATTTCCAAATGAATTTGTTGTCGAATAGTTTGATCTCATATAAGCTTTTAGACTGAGTAGTGCTTTTTGGTAAAGACCCTTCAGAATTGGCTTCATAAGAGGTGAGTGTTTCAAACCCTAACATAATCAATCAGCCAGAATTTTTCTATTGAATTAATCTATCCAAACAAAAAATCTCTTGGGCGTTTTCATCTTCCCCATCCCTATGTTAATTCCATGAGCCGAGTTTAATGGAGCTCGATGTGTCCTACTTTGTCAATTAAGTAATCAAACTTGTGATTATCACGGAATGAAGTTGCCTCCAAACCTCTCCAGGATCTCTACTTCTCAGAAGGCGAAAATTTACCCTTTTGAACTGTAACTCTCCAGGAAACACATTTCTTCTTCTCCACAGTCAGCTCCATGCGGCATGAGGGAGACGTTGGCAAACCATACTACTGTTCTGCGGCCATCTAAACGACACAGTGTTATCGTGAGGAGTCAGCTAGCTTGTCTGGACTGTTTTGAGGGAATGAGTGGGTGAATAATCAATAATTTTTGCTTATGCGCGCAGATAAAATACAAGGGGAAGATGTAAGGGTATTATAGGAATTTCAAGAGTTTCTAGTACTTTTTGAATAGTTCTGGTATTATGGCACTGAAACTCAACGAAACCCTTTAAAAAATCGGCGATTAGATAACGTGATACACGTGGTCCCGTACAATTGCAGAAGCAGGGGGGGCCCAGTCCGCCAACTTGCAACTTCTTTTTTAATTCCTGAAGAAGCAGGCTGATGCTAAGAAAACTTCCACGTGTCAAAATGTAGTTGCGTACATAGATGAGGAAGTATGCATGTGGTCCCCACTCATCTATCCATAAATCAGTCACCTCCTCTTTCTGACGTCACATGTGAGTAACACCCATTAATTCTAAGTATCACCAAAAATTTTGACTTGATTAATATCACTAATTTAATTTTTAATTAGATTAAGAATTTAAATTGAAGAAATTAAGATATTTATATATGAAATTGATAATAATAAAAAAACTATCAATTTTCTAAAAAAAGGGGGCGAGTGAGGGGACAAATGGAGGTAAGCCACGCGCCAGGAGAGACAATGATTGATGAGTACACGTGTAGGTTTATATTTATTTAATATTTAGAAAGAAAAAAGATATTTGGAATGAGAGAGGAAAAGGCCGGTGTTATTCAGGAGACGAGATTTTTTTAAGAAAAAGGAGATCTTGTAGGATTGATTTGTCGGGACACGTCACTGATGTTGACGTGGACTTCAAAAGATTCTCCGACACTTCTGAACGCCACGTGTTACTCTCTCTTTAAACCTAAAACGACAACCAATGTAATGTTTCTTCCCACCTTTCATTACATTTACGTCAACCTCCCAACATACTGACTAATTATTTTTTAATTTAAATATTCTGCATTTCTATATATATTTTTTATTATGAGAATGTAGATTTATATTTTGAATTGTATATTTTATGTATTTTTATTATAAATTTGTATTGGTACTAATTGGATTATTATTAATTTACAAGTATTATTTAATTAATGAAATTTATAAATAAAAAAATATTTTTTTTAAGATTTAAATTGAAATAAAATTAATTTCAAGGGTGCTTTTTATAAAATTGTTGAGATGTATTTAAAATATTGTTTGAGTAAATTGTTTTGGTGTTTTATTTCTAAGATAATTTTTAGGAGTTTTTTTGTTTTTAAATATGCCAGATATTTGGAGGTAAAAACACTGGGAGATTTATTTATTTTTTGCTTTGTTAGTAACGTAAAATTAGTAATTTTTACAATTTAATACATATTATGGTACACAAATTTTTTCCATTTTATATTAGCATAATTGAAATATAATAACAGCTTCCGATGTAAATATATATATATAAAAATGAGTAAATACCATTATTATTATTTCGTGAGGAATTATATTCTTTGGTTAGTTGAATTAAAATTATTTTGTAGTAGTAATTTTTAGAAAAATTATAATCATTGTTTTATGCTTAGAGTATCATATATCAAAATTACACATTTATCTCTAATAATAAAAATATCATCTTTATTAAGAATAAGTTAAAGTTTAGTATCGTGATTAATTCTAACTTATGAAAAAGTGGTGTCAATAAAATATTTTAAAAAAATTAATCAACTATATTTTTATTTTTTAAAAAATTTTAAATATATTTAAAATTCATAATTATTGTATAGATTGATATTTGAATTTTTTTTTAATTAATTGCATAGTTTCTTATTATATTTAATATTGAGTATAAAGAGAAAATTATATAAAATAATTTTTATGAGTAAGAGATTTTAGAACTATTTATATAAAATTGCATTACTCTGGTTGAAATTAAAATAATATAAAATTAACAATATACTATATATATATATATGTAATGTAAAAATTTTAAAATTATATTTGAAATTTAAATAATTATGCTCATATTAAATCAAAAAGATTAAATATGTAACGGAAGTGTACCTGAATATATATGGGAAGAAATATGCACACTATGCAATAGATATTTCAAATTAATATATAATTTTTTGAATTCTCTCACTCTCTCTATTTTTACTTATGAAATATCATAATAAAAAAATCAGACGTGTAATTTGAATAGCATAACCACTTATTTATATCCAATTCGTGTCAATAATTTTTTTATATTTTTAATTTGATCCATCAAAATTAAAAATAATATATTTATTCTCTAACACGTTAAAATAAATTTCACACTTTAATTTAATATATGAAATCTTAATATATTAAATTAGAATATACCCTAATTAATTTAATAGTCTCTTATACTCAGTAATTTATACATATAAACTCACACGATAAATTTAAAATCTAACATATAATTCTATCATATATTCGACTATTAAGACTGAGCACGTAAAGTTTCTATTATATGGGTGAAGAAGATATATGTGTGTGTGTGTATATATATATATATAGACTAAATTATAAATTTAGTGCATAAATTACAGATAATATTGTAAATCAATTAACATTGTTGTCTTGAGTAGTTAAATATACGTGTTGCTTAAACTTGTTTATCAACAGAAATTATTTTTAGATTATCTTGTTAATGTTAAGTCATGTGGAAAGTATGTAAAGGATTTTGTTATTACATAGCAAAGGTGAAAGTTTAAGCACAAAAAAAAAATAAAAAGAGAAAAATAAAAAGAAAATAAAGAAGGTACAGGTTAATCGAAATTAATTGCAATCGTTTCTTACTGTTTAATTTTTTAAAAAGGCTTCCAGAGGCATGGCCCAGGTTACCAGGAGCCATTTTCAGAAAATTGCAGTTATTTAAAAAGACGCGTGATTTTCCGTAAAATGAAAGCTCCCGGCGAGGATCGAACTCGCGACCTTTCGCTTACGAAGCGAACGCACTACCACTATGCTACGGAAGCCCTCGTTTCTTCCCGGACAAGTTCTTTTTAAATAGGAAGGAAGCCACCGAGTTGTCAAAACTTAAAACCCTGCAAAATAGTCAAACAGCAAAAGATTCTGAGAGAAGAGACGGGTAGAGAAACTGAGAGACTCGATGTGTGGAATTGCACTGGTTGTATCTGGTATTCGTATTGATTTCTCGTCTTTGCTTCTCCATTCTGCCATATCTCCGCCTACTAAGACTGAGCAGGTAAATTTTCTATTCTACGGCGAAGGAGACGTGCATTAAAAGATTTTGAAGAAGAATAGGAAAATGGTTTACAAGTTAATTTTTCATGTGTTTAATTTTTAGGAATGCCGATTCCTTGCTAAATCAAATCATTTTTTTTTTCTGTTATCTCTTTAATCGACTGCGTTTACTTGCATATTCGATTTTTAATCTTTCTCTCTTTCTCTCTCTCTCTCTTAAAATTACTTGATGCAAGCTTCATGTTCGTTCACTGTAGCTTTAAAAAAGTATTCTTGTGTTATCTTGGGTATATAGAAAGCATTTGTTCTCTCGTATAACTCAAAACTTTAATAATGGAGTTGCTGATGTGTTTGTTGGTTCACCAGCTAGTGTTCTCCGTTGATGATATTAAGTCAGCTTTACGGAGGAGGGGTCCTGATAACTTAGGTGCAAAGAAAATTTATCTTAAGTCCAAGATACGGAGTTCTGTTGAGGAGCAAGAAATATATTCGTGTATTGAGGGGGAAGAGGCAGCAGAAAAGGAGTACTCCTATTTGCTTGAGAAGAGCGATTTTTTCTCGTCTTGTAGTGAACAAAGTCATAAGCTGGAAAATGTTTTGGTACATGAATCGGTTGCGGAACTGCTGTTTATTGGTGCTACATTACAGCTCAGAGGAGTGAATCCTATAAGTCAGCCCTTGGTGGATTCATGTAGAAACATTCTTGTTTACAATGGTATGTCCTGTTTTCAGTTTCTCTTTTACTCTTTCCTTGCTCCTTTTTACACCCTTTTTCTACATGCTTTTGATATTTGACTTTGATATGCTTATGATTTACTTTACTGTCTGAATCTCTTTGTATTGCTGTTTCTTTTTGGTTATTGCTGTCTGATATTATTGGATAGTTTTTCTTCAGCCCAAAGAATCACTTGCAAAGCTGAATGTCTACTAGTACTAGATGCAAATGATCAGACATGTTACTGTCTGTTTTCTTGTTTTCTCCTCTCTCACCATCCTTTTATTATATTGTCGTTCTCCTTTGGCAAAAGTTCTTCTAGCCTCGCAGGCTAGTGGCATTTAGTTCCTTTGCAAGCCTTAATTTATGGGTTTAACACCTGTCCCTACACTTTTTTTGTAGGTTTTTCCTCCTTTGTCATTAGCCTGAACCAAAAAGAAAGGTTCTCGGATTTTAATATGTTCAAATTTGATATGAGTTCAAATTTGATATGATACCTTTTATATTCTGATCTTTGGTTGTAGCAACATTGGCTTGATGGTTAGCATCTTAAACTTGATATTGACTGTTGCAAGGAACAATCATGAAAGAAATATTTTTTTTTTTTAAATAAAAAGTGTGAAATACTATTAATATGGTACCAAACAATCAGGGGTACCACCCCTATACAAAAGCTTTACAATGTTGTTAGTGAATCAATGACGTTCAAAATTCACATTACTAATCATGTCATGCCCTAACAATAAAAATTCAAAATAATGCAACCACCTATCTCTCAAATTATACAAATCATTAGCCTTACCCTCAAAAGCTCTAGAATTTCTCTCCTTCCAAAGAATCCAAAACAAAGATAAAGGAATTAGATTTTTCAACTTCCTCTCAACATGCATCCCATCCCAAGCCCACAATTCCTCCCTAATAGATCCAGCCATCACCCAGTTAACACCAACCATACTAAAAATAGCATTCCACAATCCAGAGGCCACAGGACACTGCAACAGAACATGCACACAGCTTTCCTCTCGCAGTAATAGACACTTCCATTAGTTCCCAAGACATCTGGATTCTTATTCATTCTTGTATTTTGAAGGTGAGATATTTGGAGGAATTGAAGTTAGTTGTGACAGCAATGATGCTGAAATTCTTATGGAATCTCTGGGAAGGTGCTGCTCCTGCAACTATTTCAGGTATAAGAGAACGTGCAACTGCAGCAGAAAAGCGAAAACATCTGTTCCAGATGTTCTTTCAAAAATTAAAGGGCCATGGGCTGTCATCTATTGGCAGGTAATTTGAAGTGGTCAATTACTGTTTGTTATGGTTAAATTTGGTGTACGTTTGTAATTTTGAGCATCTTGTTTATGGAACTTTATTTAATTTTTCATGTACAGGATAGTTCAA